TTGGGATCATAATAAACAAATATGACACAAAGTGTATCCTTTATATACAATTCTTATTTATGTTGCATTCTGTATAAGTACATTATCTGTGAGAGAATTGTAATCTTTCTATAAATTGGTTAATGTTCATGCTCTCAGATACATACTGCAAACGTTCAGTAAAATTATATTGCAGTGACTGGTTAGGTAAACTGTGCATAAGTTTTGTTTGTTGCTTCTGGATCCCCTTTCTGATAAATTCCTAACACAACGCAGCAATGAGATATAGTACAATGAACGATGTAGATGAATAAGAAGGAATATTTGAGAAAGTGGCACATAGACCTCATCAAGGTATTGAAAAGAACAATAAAAACCATGAACATTTCATTCAGGATAGCCAGTTCCTGACCTGGATTCGAACCAGGTACCTAGCAAATCCAAGGCAGACATTACTGCTCTGCTGATCCTCTGTTACTTTTTCTGCCTACGAGCCACTGTCGTGTTTCCTCACTGAGACACTCAAAGCCTGAATGCCATGCACGGTGATTTAAATAATGGTCATTTGTTGTGTCTTGAACCAACCATTCATGACTGTCCCACAGCATCCAAATGTCTAAACATGTGCTAAATGTGACATGCAGCACTAGTTTATGTTTCACATTTCACATATCACATGACATAAAGAAAATCTCCTAAAAAGATTTTTCTAGTAATCAACTCATTCCTTACCTCAGAAGGAATGGATTTTGAGTATGTTACGAAGCCTTTACCACTGATGTGGGTGTCACTGGGTGAACGGGCAAAATGGTGCATCGTGAAAGGTGGAGAGGATGGACAACTGCTGCTGTAAAAGAACATGCAACTTAAGATATGTTACACATAACAGAACCTACTAACTGGGGAGCCAGAAAATAATGTGACAAGAATATTTCAGGTAGTTATTCAGAGTTTGTCAGTTCCTTTTATGGGACAATATAATTTATACATTACAACACCAGCCTGGGCTAATACACCAGAATCTCCAAGTAATGTATCTTGGTATACGGTTTTCACTTATTTAATGTTCAACCTTTGTGAATTCTGTATCATTATCTCTGTATGAAATTCAATGGATTCAAGGTTTTCCTTAGTTCAGCATTCTCCCAAAGAAAACTGAAACAGATGATATTTTGCTGGACTTACGACTTCAGTGACAGTTCCCAGCTACACTTAGGAGTGCATACTACTACACAAGTCTTGGCATTTAATCAAAACTTTTATTGAGTTATATTACAATATGAAAATTTGTAAGTGATTACTTCTCTGAATAGAAAAATTGGATTATTTTTAATTAAGCAAAACAATTAAAAAAATATACCAGTTAAAACAACTATCCTGTCTTGATGAACACAGTCCCGTTAAAAATAAATCTCCATATTTAAGATGCAATAATTCACAAAATATGAAACAAAACAAAGTTATTTTTCTTTAATATCTGGAAAATCTCTCAAAGTTTTTTGAAAATCTTAATAAATCTCAAGCTGAACACCATTTGTAGACAAGCACACAACTAGGAGGAGACATTTTGTAAATGAGTAATGTAGATAGATCCCTGGGGGCAGGGGCTGAAGGAGGTTGTGTGAGAGAATTGGGGGAAAATAAATAGAAGTGAAAAGGTGATAAAGAGTGATTAGATACTCGTTGAGATTATGGGAGGCGTAGGCATCAAACCCAATGAAAGATGCTTTTAGAGATGATGACAGATGAATCAGTTGAAGAAGGATAAAAATGAACTGGAGAGAACGGATATGGAAAATATTTAGGACAAAAGTCATGGAAATAACATAAAAAAATGAAGAATGATTAGCAGAAAATGTGTAAGCAAAGAAAAGTCAAATATGGCAGTAAACATGTCAAAAAAAATGCTAACAGTGTATAATTCAGTAAAAAGGAATTGGGAAATGGACTACATATAATACACACAAGGGATGAAAGGAGTAATTTTATGGAGGCTGAAGAGGCAAGAAAACGAAGTTATATCTGGGGTGTAGGAAGGAGCAGAAAAAAAGAAAAAAATTCAGTTAATGTACAGAATCCCTCTACAAACTGCCACCCTTACAATGCACCCAGGAAAGCCTCACAGAAGAAATTCCACATGTTATTTAAAAGGAAATACCATCCCCTGCTAGCCACCATACGCCAAAATATGTGGCAATACAATATATAATTACGCAAGTCAAAAACAATGCCATGCCACTTTATTTCCTCAGGATTCAAAGATAACTCTGACAAATATTCAGGAATATACAACATACACTGTACACCAACAACTGTGTTAACATATAAAACCTACTCAGGTAAGAAACTAGCTATAATGACTCAGAAAAGTAGTTGTGTTTTGTTGATGATGTTCCAAATTCACGCAGGTATATAGATCAAGGGTTCTCACGTGGCCTTCCAATGTGTTTTGTGCGGCCCAAATACATTTGTTATGACATGCCTAATGCATCACTCCGTACGATAAAATATATTTCCCTTACATAAGAAATATGTTCAGTGACAACACAAATGTACACTCTGCAATAAAAATCAGGCAATAGGAATTTTCTAAATTCCAAACTCGAAGTGATGTTAGCAAACAGCTGGAATCATAGTGATTTGGGAATATGTTGTCTCTTTTTGAAAAAATTCAGGAGATTTAACTGTTTTTCAAAAGTGACAATGTCCCTACTGCTAATGTATTTTGTCACATGTCACTTGTCTGATTTTGTGTTCCTTCTTGAAATCCTGGACCCAAACTCCAGTTAATTTGAAGCGGAACTAATTATTTTAAAATTTTCGCATTGAGAAACCAGCTGCACTCCTCATTCTCAGATGTGAATAAGGAAGATTCAAAATCACTTCCAAGGATTTCCTGCAAAGCCTGTAATTTGTATGGTTGGCACCACAAAAATCTTCCTCAACTTGTCTTATTAAAGAGGATATTGTAACTGCACATACATTCGCTGTTTCTTTGTGTTCTTCCAGACCATGCAGTACCCGACTGGTGTTCATCACTTACTGTTTGAAAGGCAAAACATTTTTCTAAATTCCTTGATAGTATAATTTTTTAACTGTAAAATAGAACTTGTTCTCGAAATTCAACAGTAAGAGAATGTTATTGGAGTGTCTACCTGTTCGTCAAGAACACTGTAATCCAAAATCTTAAATCTGAAAAAGAAGGAAAATGTTTTCCATTGTAGTTCAAAAAATAAATACTAATAAATTCCTGCACTTGTTCTGGCTGACCATCTACAAGCAACCTGCCACCTCCATATTATGTATATACTAATAACTGTACAGATGTTAGTAAGGGTTAGTTACCATCCTGTCCTGTAGTTATCGTCAATCTTGACCTGTTTCTTGGTGTTCTGTGTTTTATTCTGAGGTTGTGCCTGACCGAAGTCCTGACCTCCATACATGTGCCAGATGACTGTCATCTCACACAGTGTATAGCAAAGTATAGCATCTGGAAAGTGTTCTGGAGCGCGCAGTTGGTCTGTCTTCCCCAGTGGTACTGAGAAGTGGTTATCCACCACTCGCACCGGATCTTGTGTAAGTATTCGGACTTCAGGTTTACCATGCCCAGGCTAAAACAAGCGTATTTTAATAAAGTTTAGGATTCATGTGGTAGACATTAGAATTACTTGATCCTAGTAGCTGTGGCCTTCTTCTATGACAGTGTTCTGCAACCTTTGTTCACCCAAGACACACCCTAATTTGTCAAAGATACATGACATTACAAAACAAAATTTTAACTCATGAAAATAGGGGACAAAATTATATATGGCCAAAAATATGTGACTACATGTAAATCCTTGCCTGAAACAATGCAGGCATCGGAAAACATGCAAGGTTTCAGGTGTACCAAAATATTTTATAACAAATTGCATATTCACACATTATAGTCATAATAAGGCAATATCTTATATTTTGTAAAATGAATTTGTAAACACATACACACAAATACCAGAGTTGTCTACAAGGTGTGCCAGGCCCAGATATGGCCTAACCATGTGGGTGACCAAGCCCCTCGGGGGACAATCCCAGCAATGGATCCTTGAAGTGAGTAATAAGAGGGCTAGCCATGAGAAGTTGGTGGGGAAAAGCCCAGAGGCACGGGCAAGCCTAAGGGAGACAGACAAGGCCTGGGGAGAAAGAGCCCCACTGTGATAATTCCCAGGGTGTAAGAATCCTTCAATGCAAACCCACTTGGGAAATCTCTGGCAGTGACCTAATTCCTAGGGGCAATCTCTGTGAGGCCTAGCTGAACTGTGACACATGGATGGGCCCACAAGGTGTTTTTCAATTAGATTAAAGCATAAAAACACCTACAAATGCAAATACCTAATCAGATAGGAAGGAACACTTACTAAACCAAGAACTGAGATAATGGAAAAACTTAGAGCTTATATCTGGTACAGTAAAACCCCTCTAGTTGGACACCCCTCTATATTGGACACTTTTAATTGGAACCGGCAAATATCCTACAATTTTACATGTCCACAATACCCTATATCTTGGACACCCCTTTATCCTGGAACTTGGTCACCCCTTTTGTTGTAAGTTGGACAGGTGCATGCATGCATGCACTTAGCTTCAACGCTTTTATGGGAAACGTTTACAGTTAGTATTTTGTTGTTTTGAATTTCTGACTGATGAATGCCTTCTACCTGAGGATTAGCTTATGGTTGAGGGTGTGAGACATTGAACACATCATTGGAATCCAGTGAAAGTGTATAGTTATTCTTTTGTTGAACCCCTCACTGGAGTTTTAACTTTGTCAGTACAGTGCTTGCAACTGAGTTAAACAGTGTTAACAGAAATTGGAAAGGTATGCTTTCCTTCACAGT